TGAAACCTCTCTCTATGGGCATCCTAGAGACAGGAATGATGTAGGCTACTTTTGCCAATGTGGCCCACTCAGGACACAACTCTCGAAATACAAATCATGGATTTTGCAAGACTTCGCAAGCTGTCAGATAAGTATTTTGAGCAGACAGAGACCTTATTAAATGTGCAATTTCAAACATGCATTGTGTAACGTATGTCTGCTTCGTGTTAATATTTTTATCTGACAAAAATAATAACTTTATCAGACATTCGGAATTTTTAACGGTCAAGAAGCAGCATTTACCAGTTAACGGAAACTTTGGGTATATATATACATGTAATATAATAAATTAATTTAATAAATATATAAAGCTATTCAGTACCACACGATAAGATATTCATGAACGTTAACTTTAGTATTCATTAAGTATTCATATACAGTAACATATTTTAACAAATTATTTTTCACTCTAGAAAACATTTTCATTGATACCAAAGTCCACATTAAATCCAGTCAGAAATGTGTTGCACATTCATCCTGTCCCTGATAACCCTGGAATGATTAATAAATGTGTTACTATCTTTTACAGTGTGCGAAAATAGATTATGGAATGAAAAACGAAAATCCAATTAATTCTCTACGATTCTACAGAAAAGGCAAAGAGAATGAAGCAATAAAACTGCCTGCAAATGAGGTAGGTTTAGGTATTTAAGCATTAGCTATGTTTCACAACTGTAAATTTGTCAAATTAATACAAATGAATTGCATTGTGATGTACACAATATAAACCATTAGAGTGTTATTTTAACCCAGCTTCTGAGTTACACACATTGAGTAGTTTAGTTGCGTTATTTATTATTATCTGAATTTCCCCTTGGGGATCAATAAAGTATCTATCTATCCATCCATCCATCCATCCATCCATCCATCCATCCATCTATCTATCTATCTATCTATCTATCTATCTATCTATCTATCTATCGCTAGGTTAATTAAGTAACAGACCAACATGTTGGTTTAGATCGTCTGGTCTCATGACATTCTCCAGTTTGGAACAGACAGAGCTCACTGCTTTGAAATCCGGCCGGCTGCTTTCCTTAAAGATAGTGCTTGTGCACAAATCAGCCATAATATGAAAACCACAGGTGAAGAGAACAACATTGATTATCTCATTACACTAGCACCTGTCAAAGGGTGGGATATATTAGGTAGTAAGTGAGCAGTCAGTTCTTGAAGTTCATGTGTTGTAAGCAGGAAAAATGGGCAAGCCTAAGGATCTGAGCAACCTTGACAAGGGCAAAATTTTGATGACTAAATGACTGGGTCAGAACATCTCCAAAATGCGTGTTCCTGCTCGTTTTTTCACACGGTTTCACATGATTCATAATGTGTGGTCACGCGGCATCCTGCAGGCACACTTCTTAGAAATGAAATTCGTTTGTTGTGCTTCACACAATAACCAAGAGGTGGCGCATGGAACAACATGCGCCTGTACAACACAGTAGATCTGTGCACTAGTTCTGTACACTAAAAAAAACGTAATGTGTCATCGGTTAGATTTAAGAAAACATATTATGTATGATTCACATAAAAATACGGTGGGGGAAATAAGTACTGAATGTGTGAACATTTTCTTCAGTAAATATATTTCCAATGAGGCTATTCACATAAAATTTTCACCAGACATCAGTATTAACTTAAATCTGCAAATATAAAGAATTAAACATTAAAGTCCATAAATAAAGTTATGTGTAATAAAAAGGAATGACACAATAAAGAAGTATTGAACACACTAACTGAACTTTATTTAATAATAAGTGGAGAAGCCTTTGTTTGTAATGACCGCTTCAAGATGCTTCCTGTATAAGAAATTAATGGGCCGCAGTATTCAGGCGTCAGGTGATTGACTGGGCCATACTAAAGACTTGATTTTTTTTACTCTGAAACCAATTGAGAGTTTATTTTTATGTATATTTTGGATCGTTGTCCTGTTCAAAGGTCCACACAAATCTCATCTTCATCATCCTGGTGGATGGCAGCAGATTCTTCTCAAAAATCTCCCGGTAAAGGGCTCGATTCATCGTTCCTTCAGTTATGAAGTTTGCCAAATATGAAGTCTGCCAGTACCATGCAATGAAAAACAGCCCCACCTCCAAACTTCACTGTTGGTGTAGTGTTTTTAGGGTGATGTTCAGTGCCATTTCTTCTACAAACATGGTATGTAGTATGACAGCCAAAAAGTTCCATTTTGCGCTTGTCTGACCAGACTACACTCTTTCATAGTATTTCATAGGCTTGTCCAAATGAGTTCTAGCAAACTTTAAATGAGCTTCGACATGTCTTTTTAGTAATGGAGTCTTGCGGGGTGAGCGTGAGCAGTGGAGTGCATTACCTATTGTTTTCTCTGTGACGATGGTACCTGCTACGTTAATCGTATCTGTATCTGACTTCAAAAATCTTGTGAGGTGCTCCTCTGTTTGGCCGGTTGATGATGGAGTGATGTCGCTTCCACTTGTGGATAATGGCCGCAATGATGCTTACTGGAAGATTCATAAGTTTTGAAATACGTCTGTATCAGATTCCATCAATATGTTTCACAACAATAAGGTTGTGAAGATCTTGGGAGAGCTCTTTGCTTTTACCCATTATGAGATGTTTTTGCATGAAACTTTGGTAACGAAAAGCCTTTTAATAGACAATCAATTTACTAACACAGTTGCTATTAATTTGCACAGACAGGAGGTCTAATTACTTTGTAACTACTTACGGATTTCAGCTGGTTCCTTGCCTTACCTTGCCTTGAAGAATTGCTTTTTTTAGTGTGTTTTTTCCCGTGTCATTCCACTTTAATACACATAACTTGATTTATGGATTTTAATGTTGTGAATTAACTCATGTGAATTACCTCATTAGAAATGTATTTACTGGAAAATTTGTGTTGACATGTTCAATACTTAGTTCCCCTACTGTACTGTATGTGTGTGTGTATATATGTATATATATATATATATATATATATATATATATATATATATATATATATATATATATATATATATATATATATGAATATGAGAGAGAGAGGAGTTTGCATGCATGGGTTTGTTTATGGACAATAGTGAAACAAACATTTATTTCTACAGGCAGAGATTTAATTACTATGTTTCTCTCCAGGTCTCTTACATTCGGCCTGAAATCTTTTATGAAATCAAGGTCATGCTCTTCTACAAAAAAACTCCTGATCCAGATCTGAGCCTGGAGGACATCGATATGTTCTGGAAAATAATACGGAAGTTTCCCGAAGAGTAGCAAAAGGTGCCAGACTCCACAGTAAGAAAGCTGAATGATAATAAAAGTCCTAAATTAGGTGTGTTTTCAGGTGATGGGTGTGTGCAAAGCTTTTATTTTGCAACCTTGATTTATATACTAGAGGCCATGATCTTTATTACGCTATATGTGAAGGTTCACCACATGAAGGATCCATTTGCGTATAATAAAAATTATTCATTTAATTTCAAACTTCTTTTGTTTTCGCTTTGTAAAAGTATCAGGCACAGGTGGATGGTTTATTTTTGAAAACTAAAATAAATTTGTGAACAAGAGCCAAGAGTTTAGATTAATCTGTACTTACGTAGTGATATGTGCAAAATAATACTTATATAGTTAGTGATATGTACAAAAAAAGGCACAACAGCAGGAATAAGTAGGAATAATCACATCTGAGAGAGTAATCTTTACATACTATATATGATTTATGATCTTTATTGTTGCTATAACATTGTTTTGAATAAAGGATTTAATTAATTTCTGTGTAAACAAAGTCAATTGAAATATACAATGACTGTATGACTGTACTGGATATAACAAAAACCATTGCGTGAATAAATAAATACATCTCTGTTTACATATATCTCTGTTTACATCGGGGCATATGTTAGGCAGCAACTAAACAGTCATTTCTTGAAGTTTATGTGTTGGAAGCAGGAAAAATGGAAAACTGAAAACATGACATTGAGCTTATCAAAGAGCTCATCTATAGCAAAGATATGCCTCATCCAGTTGAAAGTACTGAAGATACTGAAGTAATAATAATAATAATGCATCATTACTTCAGCATTTGATGAAAATGATAAAGTAGATGTAAAAATAAAGATGTAATAAACATATCACAGCAAACCAGTGACTACATTTCCCATCCTGCACTGCGGTCTACAAACATGGCCGTCATGGACTGCAATTCCCAGAACACTCACCTTCATTCTAATCACACACACCTGCATCCAATCTCACACACTCACTCCACAGTATAAAGAGACTGTTTTCTAACAATGTTTTCTTTCTTCTGATTATACCCTGTTCCTCGTTTTGTTTCATATTTCTTGATCTTGTTCTTGTTTCTCGTTCTCGATTCTAGCTTTGCCAAGTTTTTGCCTGTTTGCCAATTGCCTGACCCTTTGCCTGTTTCTTGACCTTCTTGAAAAAACGTAGTCAATACAGGTAAAGGGTTGGGCGATCGGCAAACAGGCACAAACTGGGCAAAGCAGGACTCAAAGTCATGGTCACAGAAAACAGGGTTAAACTAACTAAATCTATCAAGGAACATAACATTAACAACGTATCTAACTGTACTAAATATCTCTCTAACTACATTAACTATATTTAATATCTAATAACAATCGAAGAGCATGTAGCTCGTACATGCGCACACCCTCTAATCTCATTTTGACTAACCCCCCCCCCCGCCGAGGTCGCCATGTTGACCTCGGCAGATGAAATGCATTGGAAATGCAAGGTACATACCAGGAGTATAAGTGCTTCAGCAATTAATTGGTCTCATAAAGTAATCAGTCTCATGGTTTGGTTTAGAATTTGAATTATAATCACAAATTTGTCATTTTAATCAAATATGTCAAAATTATACAAACAAACAATGACCTGGTTTCTGAATGCTTAGGAAACATCAAAAAAAAGATAAATGGGGACTCTGTGTACGTGTGTGTGCGTGTGCGCATGTGTGTGTGTGCATGGTGGCTTAGTGGTTAGCATGTTCGGCTCACGTCTCCAGGGTTGGGGGTTTGATTCCTGTGTGTGCAGAGTTTGCCATAAAGATACAGACCTACAAATTCAGAAGAGGTAAAAAGGGTGATATATATATAAAAGGTGTCATACAGTGCCTGCTGATTTTGTACGTTTGCCCACTGATAAAGAAATGATCAGTCTATAATTTTAATGGTAGGTTTATTTGAACAGTGAGAGACAGAATAACAACAAGAAAATCCAGAAAAACGCATGCCAAAAATGTTATAAATTGATTTGCATTTTAATGAGGGATTTCCTCCAGGTATTCCAGTTTACTCCGGGTACTCTGGATACTCCTCCCCAGTCCGAAGACATGTGTGGTAGGTGGATTGGCGTTTCCAAAGTGTTTGTAGTGTATAAATGAGTGTAAGAATCACTGGGCCATCTTCAGTCGTCTTGACTCAGTCTTCCTCACTTTAATCCAATTCATGCGTCGAGTTCCAGCTTCTTTTCTCCATAATGGAAATGGAAACTTCGATCTTCAAACTCCTGTGTGTGTGTGAGAGGGAGAGAGAGTGACACACATATTCTCTGACACAAGCTGTCACACTCTGAGACACACATACACTATAATACTCTCTCTCTCTCTCTCTCTCTCTCTCTCTCTCACACACACACACACACACAGTAAAGTCCTTTTAGTTGATCACAACATGTCTCTATGTTTGAAAAAAAAAAGCAACCTGCAAATCTGCACTACGGACATGATGACATACAGTATAGTCTCAGTGGTATCAGTAGTTGAAGACAGTGACGATGACCATTCCCCAGAATCCACAACAGTACTACAAACATTTTTTAATAATGTCTTCCAATCTCAATCAGTGTCAAAGTGTTGATTTTGTATCCAAAGTCAAACCAAAAACACAAAAGCCAACAGTGTGTGACACTCTGCATTCACTCTCCATACATTACTATTGGGTGGGGCTTGGGAAATATTATGTTACAGTCTCAACATATTAACTATTTTGCTATTCTCCAGGTTTCACACCTTCTGCCCAACAGCTTTGCTGAAATCAAGGCCATGCTTTTCTACAAAGGTGCTGCAAAGCTCCCAGAAAACCCACCAAAAAAAGGATTCTTGGACTGAAAAACCAAGTGACGGATCAAGTGAAAAATCAAACTAGGAATCAAGCAGAAGTGAAGAATAGAGTGAGGATTCCAGTGAAGAATCAACTGAAAAGCGAAGCTGTAATCCTGTTGAAACAAATGTCAATTTTATAAACTGATCATTGGGGGGAAAAAGAATCCATTTTCAAATCCCAGATTATTTTATACAATCATATATTCTACTGTACTCCCTCTTTCAAGATGATCAGGCAAATGACTAGAGATAAATAATCTAGAGAAAAGAAAATAATTTGTGCATGGTGAATGCAGGGCTTTTTTATATGAAATTCATATAGTGTCCGTTTGTTTTTCTGTACTTTACATGTAGGGTAGGTTTCTTTTTGGACTTTTCCTTAACTTTTCATGCAGTTCACACTATCAGTGATTGTGCTATGTTACACTCTTCAGTACACTGTTCATCATAAAAGAATGATTCATGAAAATAACTTAATCAAAGCAAATTAATTAACTAACAAGTATCTAGTGTGCGATCACATTTTTTATTTTTTTTGCTTTTCTTTTAACTTTCAGTTAAGAGGGTATGGAATCCGAATCACATATTAGTACAAGTAATATAATCATGTATCTCTTATAACTGGTAATACTTACATAATATTGTTTGATCTGGGGATTTATTTGTGGTGAGGGGGTTAGATTTTAGCATATACAAAGTTAAATGAATTAAAAAGATTAATTTGTGTGTCTGTTGTAGCTCAGTCAGCGTAGGGGGATGGGGGGTGTGTGTTTTAGTCTGTGTTCCCTTACTAGTGGTAATTTTTTCCAGACAACAAAATCTGATGAACACCAGCACCCTCCACTGTCTCCTATAATGTGCAGATAGAATCACAGAGGGATGTCTGTGATCTGGGGCGTGTCTAGAGCATTTTCAGCGGGTGGCCACTAGTTACAAAAATGAGCACTATATAAATAAATAAAGGTACATTTTATGGTAGACCATAAAAAAGCTGCAAATTTTTACCTGATCTAACGCTTAAATTGAATTTTGTTTGTGTAAGCTAATGTATTTAGGTTGATTCAGTTATGTTATTTTTGACTTGAATAAATTCATTTAATTTAGATGTTACCAAATGAAGCACATTTTAAACTTTGTTTGAAGTACATACAGTAATATTTCTGTTAAGCCAGTGTTAATTTTTTCCATTGTCTTTTCACATAACTAACACTAGTCAGTAATATTCATCATTGATCCTAACAGCCATTTTCAGGCTCATGCTTTCATTGTTTAGGATCTACATACTGTCATGTATCATGAAACTCTGGACTCCAGTTCCCGTCAGCCACTGCACTGCACTGCCTGTCACATGACCACCTGCACCTGATTCACGTTTGGTTAATGAGCACTCATGGGTATATATAGTCATTGTCTGCACTGATTCCTTGTCTTTCGTTGTCTTAGACTTTGGTTGTTATGTCTCTGTGTTTTTGTTTCATGCCACAGTGTTATGCCAAGTTGACTTAGTGTCTTTGTTTTGTTATATGATTGTTTAAATAAATGTTATCTGCACTTGATCCGCCTCGACCTCGCTTTGTGACACATACCACAAAGGCATACAATTATAATACTGACAAACACAGACCAAAAACATTCGAACAACTTTAAAACCACAAAAAGTTAACAATTTTCATGTTTTTGCCATAATCATAAATTATCTTAATTTTTTTTTTTCAGATTTCAAGTACAAAATAAAAGTTGAGAGTCACACAGAATGAAAGTTTTAGGACTGTAACAGCTTAATTGGACTGTTGATCATCCAGGGCTGAGCCCAGATTCTTCTCCATCAAATAACATACTTCTAAATAGATTCTTTACATTTATTTTTTATGTTTTGTTTTGTTTTGTTTTTGGCATGTGAAGGCTAATTGTTTAAAAAAATTAAATCATAAAACGTGCCTTGGGTGTTATCATGTTTGCAGGACTACCACTAGTTTGGTGTTGCTAACCAAGGGGAGACACAACTGGGGCGGCTGTGGCGCAGTTGGTAGAGCGGGTTGTCCACTAATCGTAGGGTTGGCAGTTCGATTCCTGGTCCAGGTGACTCCACGTGCTGAAGTGTCCTTGGGCAAGACACTGAACCCCAAGTTAGCACCTTGCATGGCAGCTCTGCTACCATTGGTGTGTGTGTGAATGGGTGAATGAGACACAGTGTCAAGCGCTTTGGATAAAAGCGCTATATAAGTGCCCATTTACATTTAACTAAGCTATCGTTGTATGGTTTTAGCTGCTACAGTACCATGTAAAGTACGTTATCAACCCTTATGCTCTGCTCATATCATGATCACATAAATTGAAACTCATAAAGACATTTATACATCTTGTTTACCTTCTCAGCATAAGAGGATGGTAGTGTTTCAGTTTCAAGCTCTTTACCAGGAAAAAAGTAAATAAATAATAAAAAATAGGTGTGCATCGATTTGGTGTTTGGCAGAATTGAGAGCCGTCAACCAAGAAGACATAAGTATTTCTACGTGTTTTCCTGTAAACCCTGTCTGATTGGTCTTGCCTCTGTTCACTGAAGATAAAATACAACACTCCATTCACTGAAGGTACAAAATTACAACATTGTTAAGTAGTGACAAAACGTTCCACATAGAGAATTATTTACGGCTAAAGAAACAAATTTTCTGAGCTACAGCGCCAAATGCCCAGGCCAGGTTACGCCCCTAGCTACCTACCTTTACTTTTGTTTTTGCATCTCTCCAAGCTTGATAACATCATTTCACTGAGTAAATATCTCTGCCTCTGTCTGTGATGGCACCTAATATATAGTATGTCAAGCATTTTGTAGAACTGTAAACCCTTATAATAATATTCTGAATTTCTGAGTTTTTGTGTTGGTTGTTTCTGTAGAAAAAGCAGTTATTGTTGGAGACATAAATATTCATTTTAATAATCCATAAGACCGAGACAAATTCAAGAACGGAACATTGGCAGAGCAAGAGCACATGATAGGTGCAATGCTGTGCAGTAAAGGTGAGGATAGTATAATGTGTACTGTAATGTTCTTGATGAGCTGGGAAATGAATCACAGGTGTTAGTGTACAGACGAGGCGGGCCTGTCAGTGTGTGTATATGGGCAAGGTTGAGACTGAAATCATACATGGAAATGGAGTTCATTACAATTTGATGTCAAAACTAAATTGCATTTATATTAAAGAAAGATACACCAAGCACATTTTCAAGCTAAATATTTCCCCCCAAAACATTTGTGGGCCACTGTATATATCCACATATTTCCTGTTACTCTACATTTCCTATGTTTCCAATGTAAGTCAATTAGGTACTTTTTTCCATTCAAGGTCACTTCAAAATAAGTTATGAGACTATTTCTGATTTTATTTTATTCTCATTTTATTTAATACATCAGATTTTCAATGGGTCAAAAGATTACATACACTTTCTTAGCATTTGGTGGCATTGCCTTTTAATTCTTTGGGTAAATCTTGGGGTAGGATTTCACAAGCTTCTCACAAAACTGTGCTGGAATTTTAGCCCTCCTGACAAAACTAGTCCACAAATTTTCTATGGGGTTCAGGTCAGGGCCTTGTGAGAGCCAAATCTTCCTTCCTCATGATGTAATCTATTTTCTGAAGTACTCGAGTTTATTTTCCAGTAAAACACCCCCACCAGATGAGGCTTGCATCTCCATGCTTCACATTTGGAATGGTGTTAGATGGCTTTAGATTAAATACCACACACTTTTTCCATCATTCTGTCCAAACAGTTCAGTTTTTGTTTAATCTTACCAGAGAACACTCGTCCAAAAGGGTAAAGATCACCTACAAACTCCATTCTGTTTATTTATGCCAGTTCTTTTAATTTTGTCACTGGTTTGTTCCAGTAGCCCAATGTAAACTTTGCCTTAGTGAGCTCCAAAATTAAACCA